ATTAAGTTAACCATAGTGATATTCAAGATAACACAATTACATTAAAACAAATAATTTTGCTTTTCTGACAATCTTCCTTCCTTCCTTTTAAATAAATTAAGCACCTTGTACGTAAAACACAATACCAATAAACTACACAAATTATGTAACAAGCATAATGATTGGTCCCTGACATAATTACAACATAATATCATATATATAAAACTAGCTTATAAAACAATACCTGTAACTTAAGCCTGTAAACAGCCATGGGGCAATATGGACACAAATTTTATGGCTAACTCACACCACTTGACATTGATCAAAGACTAATGAGGATAATTTTGAGATCTGTGTCGGTCCTCTATACTGACCAAAACTTAAACATGTACATATTTATACCAATTTTCTTCACTTATTAAACAATCAATACTTGTCATTAAATTAACTAGGCATTCTGGCAAGTAGTAAGTACGAGTCATCCTGTTTCAATGACATAACCTACTAACACCACTATTTGGTTTTATGTGCACCTTGATGGTGTTCTATGACACCACATGACAAAGATAAATAATGAACAATGGCACCTCATAACATTATTATAGATTCGGCTAATGACAAATTTATCCCAGACAGGCTTAATCTCACTTCAATTTAATAAGACATAGTAGAATTATTTCAAATCAGAAGTGGTCAACTAGAACTGACACACTGTTGCTTCCGTCTGCTCCATGAAGATTCTCATTACCTAATGACATCTGGTGCCATTTTGTGGGTGTTGTCTTATTACCCACCTCAGTAGACTTTAGCGCTACACCCCATGAATTATCTTTATCTGGAGCTGCAATGTGAGGTAATCGTAGCTCAACAGGAATATTGAACTTGAGTCCATTTGGGCCACACATGACCAAAGGGCTTAGCAAGGTTTCACCTGACAAAAATAAAAGATATTAATTAAAGTAATGTAAATTTACAAGGTTGGGGGCTGAAAAAGAGTCACACACAAGCAGCTGACTAAATAACCATACTTAGAATTGTTTGTTTCACAACAAAAGTAGAATAACTAAACTCTGAAGAGAATATTGGAAACAAATAAGTTAGTTTCCTAAACAAGCAAATAAAAATACAATTTGTGCCACCCACTCAAACAAACAAAAAAACAAAAAATAAAGGAAGATAGAAAGAACTGAGTCATCTTTTTTGAATGCGTAAAAGAATAGATAGAGAGTTGAGAAATTAGAGAAGACACAACAAACAAGTCAAGTGGCAAATGTGCATGTTCTGAACGTAAAGAGCAAGAAAAAAGAAAGTTAAGTAAAATATGGTTGTTTAACAGTGTTAAGCCCCTGTACAGTAACAGAAGAAAGGGAAATGATTTGTAGTTCGAGGAACAATAAGAAATGTGGTGTAAAGGTGACAGGCAGTATGAATGAGATACAAAATGAGATACAGAGTGAAGATGATTGCACGGATATGAATGAGCTTATGACTAACCTCTCTCCTTGTCCAAAGGGGGCAATAAGGAGCCGCCAGAGCTGCTATCTCGACAGACCTTGAAGTAGATTTCCTGCTCGGAGTCTGGTGGCAAGGCACCAGGAGGGATCACAATGGACACCCCTGTTTCCGGGTTTTCTAGGACACCACCCTTGTCCGAAAAGACACCCCGGGCAGTTGCCACCACCTCAGACCTGTTCGAATTGTTGTTCGAACCACCTGCACCACTCCCAGTGCCAGTGCCCCAGCCTGATCCCATTCCAGTAGTGTTACTGTAGAGGCTATCCTCATCATCACAGATCCTTCCATTACTGCCAAAGAAATAATACGGCCAATGCGCCAAGTGTTAGTAAGACCTTGTTTCACACATTCACCCACAAGAAACAAAACAAAAGATCAGTAACATGTAATAGCTAAGATATTATGTAAAACCTATTTTAATCTTTTTTTTTAATATTTATAATTTTAAAAATTAAAACTTAGAGCTTTACAAGTTTAAAATTAATTTTTCTACTCTTGGAAAAATTAATAGTAGTAAATAGAAAACAGGTTTTAATTTGATCAAAATGATGCAGACACACAGTATGCAGAGGTATTCTATTGAGAATTTTTTCTGTTCTTTTTTCTTGGAAAGGGTAACAAATAAGACTTGTTGCCTTTTTCAACAACCAAAGCTTCCAAGCATACATGCAAGCACAAACACGATTTTCACACTTTAATCAGTAATCAGTGGCACACATCAGTTTCTGCAATTTTAAAAAAAAGCAAAGCAGTACTTATGAAACATGGAACAGAAAAATGATAAGGATGCTATGAGTGGAATAGACTTGAAAAGTGGTGACAGCACTCATGATCATGTAAGATAATAAAAAATGAAAATATCGCAGAAGCTGCAACGAGTAACAGCATAGCTCTTGCAGAGAAAAATTTCCGTTTAAAAATATGAAAGAACACACAGGAAAGATATACAAGCCAAGCACCACATAGTTAATGAATAAAAGACAAAGAGAATGCCAAATAATTACCTGATATTATGCTCCATGTAGTGGTAGCGAGGATCAGATGGTTTCTTGTATAACTCAAATGCAGAACCTCGTTGTTCTCGGTTGGCTAGGTCTAACCCACTAGGTTCTCTGTTGTGATGGCCTGGTGCAGGCCGGGGTGGAGGGGGTGGCATATTGTAATAGTACTGAGATCTATCATAATTCCGGTCCAGACTGCTTCCATGACCAGAATCGAAACCACCATTATGTTCTACATGGTTGTTATTGTGATTTGGAGTGTAATTGTTGTTTTCTTGATCCATTGAGAACTTCCCTGTTGAACCAATGACCTACAAAACGAAAGTTGAGTTTTAAAACACTCTCTTTCTATCTCCCTTTCACACACACACACACATTCACAACAACAACAACAACAACAAAAACAGAACGCTTGAAATTATTTTTGATAGATATAGGTGGAGACCATTGGAGACCTACCCCATTATGATGCGACTCCATGTTTCCAGCGAGAGAGAAGGACTTCGAGTGCTGATAAATTGAGTTGTTAGAATGGTGGTGAGGTGAGCTGATACCATTCTCCATACCCATGCTGTGCTTATTATGACGTGGTGTTGAAGGATTGTCAGTAGTCCCATAATTTTGCTCACCACCATTTGCAGTACTCCTCCACTGTGGTTGATTGGAAGGATGGTCTGGTTGTCCATTTGCAGGCAGGCGGTAATTCTTGGGTTTGGGAGGAGGTATAGGCTTATAAGAAGCAGTCTTTGGTGGAGGGAGAGGTTTGTTGTAATCACCTGGCCTGTGAGGAGAGCAGGGTAAATTACATTTAAAATTCTACGTTTCTACAGCAGGAGGAAAAGGAACAAAAAACAGGAACAACTACCACAATTTTTTGAAAGGTAGCAAAAGCATAAAAAAAAAGAACCTATGTAAAAGAATGTTTGGTACTTTACTCAGGTTTCAAAAAGAAGACTAAAGGAGACTAAGCTTATATAAATTGATAAGAATGGTATGCTTAAGAACTAAACAAAGGTATTTTGGGAAGAAATGTAAATTTGGGATGTTCTGAGGTAAAAAGGTACTGATGTAAGATTAGAAACAGTACCAAGTGCTTCCAGACTTTTGGAAGGAAAGCTGGAACCATTAGTTAAGATATTGTGGATTTGTTGCAATAGTTTGTATTGGAAAAGTTTCCAAGATTTAAAAACTGACCGGTATTTACTGTAGTCAGGTGGTTTGTTTGACTTTTGAGGTTCAACAGAATTTTGGCGGCTGCCAATAGGTTGAGCCGTTGATCTTGTAAACCTGTATGGGTCATGATTCCTCGGAGAAGCAGGTCCTCCATTACACGATTTAATGTCATCATGGGTATTCTGGCCCATTGGTACTCTATTGTTGTATGAATCATATGATGACACACTGTCATAGCTGCTCTGTAAAAAAACAAAACATTAAACAGCATGTTAATATTTTCATGGAAAATAAGGATGAATTGTATCAATATTAAATAATACATACAGTTTTCATAATATGTCTATCTAGAGAGGAATTTGGCCCACTAGATCGATGGTGCAGAGGAGTAGCATTGATATAGTTGGGAGGATCAGTAGGAGAGGGAGGGTTTCCATTAGTAGTTGCAGTTCCATTGGTTGAGTGTTCTGAATCTTTGCTGGGATACAGTCGATCTGTGGCACTACGAGTCAGTCCTACTCTTGGGGGCTTGATATTACGGTCAATTCTTGGAGGTAGTTCTGGAGGGCCATTTACATTCTAGAAAAGACACAGAAAATAATTACTTTTTTGAAGAGAAAGGATATCAAGCGAAGCAGAGGACAGTTAAGGCCTCTACAACTAACCTGCAGGGGTGGCGAGTGAGCAAGAGGTGAGCGAGCCATATTTGTACCACGTGAATGAGAGTGAGCATGCATGTGCGAATGCGAATTGTGCTGATGAGGTGGATAGTTGAGGTGAACAGTTGGGGATGTAGGTGCAGGGACAGAAGTTGGGGAAATGGCTTCAAGCGGGGATGAGGGGCTGAAGCCATATTTGCCCTCTACTCCATTTATACCTCTACGAGGACTATGTTCATTGTTTGAACCAAGTCCAACACCATTTCTACTTTCATAATTTGGCTGAAAAAGCAACATGTGATTTTTTGATGCCTGAACTGACAGGAAACAATATCTTTTAAAAGCATTATTTTAAAAATGTTTTTTTCCTACAATTACCTGTTTGTTGTAAGGGCTTGCTGGAGAATATGGAGGTGGTGCTGTGTATCCAGGGGCATTATCTTCAACAGTAGCAATACTTGGATCACTGGAGCTCTTCACTAAACGAGACGAGTTGTGCCCTCCAGGGGACAGACCTCCACTACTGTGGTTGTGGGGCCTAGGCTCGGGGCTGAGGTCCAAATCAGACTCCGGGGAGGAGGCATAGGAGAGGCGGGACGTCATTGGGAACAGGAAATCATCTGAGAGAGCCTCGTCAGGCTGCAGGACATGATATTGAGTCGTGTCATTACCGATAAGTATAAAATAACACACAAAGACACAACACCAAACAAAATTAGAGAATTGAAAAACCCTATATTAATTTTAAAAACATAAAAAGTTGAAACAAAAATAAAATGCTGAAGGTACGATATACTTTTGAATATCAAATAGCACTGTACAATGATTAAGCAAATTCTTGCAGTAGCAGATATTTGCACAGGCCTGAAACTCTCATAGCAATCACAAATCTTGTGCAAAAAATGTTTAAGGGCAGTTGCTGTCAGCTGTTTGTCAAGGAATAGCATATAAAGTTGAGAGATTAACATATTGACACCCAATGTTACATAGAGCTTAAAAAAATCACAAAAAAATAGAAACATCAACATGCAAATGGGTGTTGAATAAGATAGTTAATATTCATGCGCTAGAGGACAATTAGATTCTGCAGTGCACCATCAGGTATCTGCCAAGACAGTCAAATTAGAAAGCAGGAGAAGATAAGATTCACAGATTGTCTACTGCCTGAACTCAGAACAAGAAAGAATACAGTAAAAACTTGATTCTTGGACTGACCAACCATGACCCAAATCATGCTCAAAACAATATCAGTGCTCTAAGACAATAAATTTTATGTCATAGTAACTTATAGTTTTTGGTTACTACAGAGCTAAAGCAAGAAAAAGCTTCTATTTTTATTTTATTTTGCTTGTAAATTTCAGGAAGGTACAAACACACTCAACATCAACATTGTAAGAAAGAAACCATGCAATTAAAAAAATAAAAATAAAATGTTACACAAAACTTTCTTTACATGCTCACAAGCCTCCACCACGTTGTCTCATCACCTCACATGAGTATTAGTATTATAAAATTCACCTATTGCTTCCTGTTGAGGCAAGGTTAGGAATATTGGGTCTTAAAGGTATCATAATGAATAGAAAGGCATGGATTCAGAAACAATAGGTACTAACTTGCATTCTCATTTGTATGAAAAAAATCAATTATGAATGACTAATTGGTACTGAGATTCATTTAAAGACTTCTCTTTGGTGCTTCACACCACTAAACAGTCAAGTAAATTAACACTTTTAATTTTTTTGTCTCTTACAACTTGCAGGGCATGCACACAGTGGTTTGGAATTTGCAAAAAGTTACATGCTTTCAAGCTCAAACAATAGCAAAACTCAGAAATCAAATCGAGCAACACATTCTCAAACGATAATATTAATATTGGTAACAAAATGGGATCATACATAGCCAAAAAATTGTTCGGTAATGACAGGAAGATATGTGTTGCCTTGCAGCTGTGCCGGTGATACACACACTTCATACTGGCCGGCATTGATACCACAATGGGCTCTGCATGGGGCATGAATTGAGTGGTTGCGCCGCAGGGCAGTGGACGAGGGGACAGAGGAGTGGTAGTGAGGAAGGGAGTTGTACGCTTGAGAGGAGGAGGAGCTGGACTGGGGAAAAACCATGGAGTATGAATGGGGATACGAAGAATGGTGAGTAGGTGACAAGGAAGGAGGCAGGAAGTAGAGGTCGGAGAAGAGTTCCAGAGACTGTGGAAACAAGAGGCAAAGTAATGATAATCAAGAAAAACATTCAGAATGAGGAAAATGTTGAAAAATTGTGGGGAATCATTTTGAAAACTATTCAGTTCTGATTATATCAAAACAGGTCTAAATTTGTTTCCTAATTTAAAATTAATTGTAAGTTTGTTCCAAAGTTTTGTCATTCTTGTTAAAAATTAAGTCCAGAGATGAATGACAAAACATTACTAAGCTCAATATTTTTGAGAATAGAAGAAACCACTCCACAATGTATGCACCACCTTTGAGCATGACCAACATTCCTACTACATACAAGAGGCTCCAGCATGCAACCACCACCATTAGTTTCTTAGATTTACAAATAGTTTTAAATCTCCCCTGAATTGCCAAGGCTAAACGTCAAGATCACTAGACCACAGATCAGATTGATTCCTTACCTTGCTTTCGCTCATCCAAACTGGAGCTTGCTGTTGTTTATCAACAAGTTCACGCACTTTTCTATACCACGAGTCAGGAGATGAAAGTGTGACAGAGCTTGAAAATACATGCCCCCAAACTTTTTCAAGTTTTTGACACTGTTCCAACAACTTTTTGCTGCTTTTGTGGGCGGTCCTGCCAGAACAAAAACAAAAACAAAAAAAATATAAGTTACAGCAGTATATTAACATGATTAACATTTTTTTTCATTTCTTAAAACAATTTACAGCTGAAAATAATTTTTTTAAAACAATTTTTATCAAATTGTAGCTATTTTTTATTTTGAATTTTTAACGCCAATTTCTAATCATCCCTGCTTCTGGGCATGTTAAGTGAAATTGCTCATAATGGAATGTGTTGGTGGACCTCAAGAAAATTGCCTATAAATTTTCACATGTGTTCCCTAAAACAGAAGAATTTCCACATGCAGTTTTCATCCCAACACCCAAGTAGCTTAATTTTACATGGCAAAATCTCCACTGCTTGCAGGCTCAAAGGAAGTTGAAATAGCACAAATTGTAAACATGCATCACATTAAAGATAGAAAGGGATGTGTTAGAGATTCTTCAGAGTCAGTTTGAATTAGACCATTCCTTTAAAAACAATTATTTCAGTGTTTTGTTCTTTTTAGTGTTTCATTCACAGGCTTTTTAGAAAACAATCCTAACAAATAAATCAAATAAAAGGGATTTAATTAATTAACACTGCTCCTTAAGCCACCAAACCCAGTCCCATGTTGCATCCTTTGCCTGTTTTCAAATACTCACCAGGGTAGGATGTCCAACATGGTGCTTGCGTAAAAAGAAAAACACCAAGTTTACAACATGATAACAAAAGAGAAAAATTACCACAAAACCCACCACCCTACATTGTCAATCAATGTTGAACAAATCAAAAAACGTTGAAGCTGTAGAAACGTTAACTGTAATCCTTAAATTATGGTGTAAACTACAAGCACTAGTAAAACTTAACAGGACCAGTACAACAAAGTTATTCCGTGAAAATAAGAAAGGGGGCAAATATTCCCGAGTTTGATTAATAACACAGCTAGCAGGTCTTAATTTTCAATAAGGTGCATTTTGCAAAGATAGGTGCATGTTATAAAAGCAGTGTGCTTGTCTCGTGGAACATTTCATTACTACAATATATACATAGAATTATGCAGAGCAAAATAGTGTATAAAGGCAACAAATTTAGAAATTTAAAATAAATTTCTTACTATGTATGATTTCTAATTTTATTGATAAGGTGACATTTTTTTAATTTTTTTTTTTTTGTGCAATATGTAGATTTTAATGAAAGAGACCAGAGCTGACTACTACTGGACACTACGATAAGCAATCACACATAAACAAGGCAAGTCAAGAAAAAATGAATAATACTTACTTTGAGAGACCTGCACCTGCTCTCAATTCTTTAATCGTATGCTTTGTTTCTGCCCGTAGGAAAATGACTATAGGGTAAAATTGGGCATAGTTCAGACGGTCAACTGCATTTGGAGTGATATCCAAAAGAGCATGTTTTCCCCTATCCGTAATGTCTCGGATAGCACTCAAACGTATTATACCAGATGGTTTTTGACTCTTAGGAACATCTGATGATCCGTTTTCTAATTCTGTTTCAAAAGAAATTCAAGTACATTAAAGAATATTCTGAATAAATGGAAGCTGTTCACTAACTGCTTAATACTTACGTGGTGATGTAAATTTATCAGGAAAATCACGTAGCATTTTGTCACGAGCAATGTCAGCAACTGGACCAAACAAAACCACAGGCCGTACAAAACCTGGATGACGAAGAACAACTCTTTCGTAAGCTGGGAACTTGCTTATACTGTCAGCAAAAACAACATCATCCCAGTGGTCCTGAAAAATAATTTGTTTGCATAGATATTATTAAAACCATCATTTTTTTAAAATTGTTTTGGAGAATTCAATTTCTTTAAATTTTTGACTTACTCTGCTGAGTGATTTTGAACGGCGGTGACTGTTGCGTCTTCTTCTAAAGAAACTTCCTCTACTTTCTGAAGTACTTTGTTCCTTTTTACTGGCATTAAATTGTGCTGTTGCTAACTCTTCTGCTCTTGCTTTGTTAGGTATAATGCCTTTTTGGACCTCTGTGTTATTTCGACCTATTCTGAACACTTGCCATGATCCTACAACACCATTGTGGAGAGTATCAACTACATGGAAAACATCTCCTTTCCTGAAGCTCATTTCACCTTTATTTGGTTGATCATAGTTAAAATGAGCCCTGCATGATAAAATATATAAAATTAATACATAGCAAAAGTTTACATGCAATAACAAGTATGAGGAAAAATTAAAAGAATATTAAAATCTCACTTGATGTGGAATGAATCTCCTCGCTGGCCAGCAACAATTGTGTCATACTCTTCCTTTCGATGTTGGACTATTAGATCAATTTGATCTTGCAAACTAAGCAAAAAGAGAACTGCCTCCTCCCTGGTAACTCCTTTCATATCCATGTCATTCACCTGAAAAGTCATTACAGCATTAAATTCATCCTTCAGTAATTAAACGGTGAATGCAATTTTGAACAAAGCTTAAAATTAGTGAGACTTTGCATTTACCTTCAGTATTTTGTCCCCTGGTTGTAATCCTTGCAAAGATGCAGGGCTTCCTGGTTGGACTGCGGTCACAAATATACCAACTTCATTACCCCCTGTTAACCTGATTCCAACTGAACCTTCCTTTTGAAAAGTTATGAACCTAGGATCAGGCATTGGCTGTTGTTTCCTTTGAAGCAGAGGATCATCCTCATACAATTGTCTTCTACTACTGTAAAAATCTAAATAAAGATATCCATAATCGTTAGACATTCTGAAGCTGATGAAGACATTTAAAGATTTATGTTTTACACACCATATCCTTCTCCTTCAGTGCGAGGTGGTGGAGGGCGTGGAGGTGATAAACCATCTGAATCGTCTATACCGCTCCGACTCCTTGAATGATTGTGCCCTGCACTGGTGGGCGAGCCGATCGACGGCCCGGCGCCGCCTCCAGCACCGTTGGGGGTGGATGGCCTATCAAGTTGACTTAGAGACACGTGGTCTGGAAGTGGGACTCGGCTCCGCCCACGAGGGAGGAGATTACTCTTATCATCTAACAATGAGTTTTGATGAGGATGCAGGCTGCCTCTAGTAGGCGGCTGAACATACAGGTTTTGAGACGAGTAATTTGTACCCCCAGCAAGAGACTCCAAAAGATTTCCATCTGCAGAAATTTTTAATTTAATTTGTTATGCGAAAAAATATTTATGCAACAATAGTTTCAGTTATTCATGTTCCATTATCTACCTTTTCCTTGTAGGCTGGAGTTGTTGTGAGAAGAAGCACCTCCACAGTAGAGATTTCCATTGGATGATTGCTGAGAGGATGAACTTCTAGCCTCTCTACGGACAAGAAGGCTCAGCTTGTCCTTAGATGCATCCATAAGTTTCCGCGCCTCTTTGAGAGAGAGTCCGTCCGCCGAGTGGTTGTTGATCTTGAGGAGAACATCGCCTTCCTGCAGGGAGTTGCCCGGCGCACCGATGCCATCTTTTTCACCCCTGTGCAGGACTTCTCGAACATATATCTTGCAGCCGAGCACAACTCCAAAGTCTGTGGGAAAGGTTCGAAGGCGAAAATTAAGAAAGGCGTAAGCCCACTAGAGGCAAAAACAGGAGGCACTACTTTCATGTGTCCTACCGTCCTTCTTCTTGTTGCGCTGGAGTTGGACCTTGAGTGTGTGGGGCTCGGGGGAGGCGGGCAGCACGATGCGTCGCCGCACCACCAGGAGAGCCGTGTTCCCCGAGTCCCGCAGCACCTGCACGGCGGTGGCGTAGTCGACGTTCTCCAGGGACACCCCGTTGGCACTGACAATCCGGTCGTTGACCCTGCAAAAAGGGGAGCACTGGGGTCAGGTGGGAGGAAGCAATTGCTGAGTTTCTTCCGCAAAGAGGTGCCGTTATTTTTTTAGTTCCGCATCAAAGCAACCCCGTGGGTGAAGTCCTAGATCTGAATAGCTGCCTTAACTTTATACCCAGGAACGCCCTTAAATTCAAATCCAGGGCAGCACCCACCGGCAGCAGCCACCAAATAATTAGACCACCTGAGAAATATTGAGCTCCTTCTCTTCCCCCTCGACTCGGATAAAGCTGCGCCTGGCTGCGTCCTGGTAGCGGTGGTGTCTGGCCCGCGGGTGCGAGGGAGACAGTGGCGCCAGAGCAGGGCAGCTCTGCCTCGGCTCTGCCCCCCGCGGGGGTTGGGACGCAGCCCCGGCTTTTCCTTCTCTGTTATTTTTCAATAAGAGCACACGGTGGCGGTGCAGGCCGGGGCTTATCTGGTGTGTGGAAGAGGAGGGGGGAGGGGAGGGG